TCATTACCGTTCCGAAAGGCATGTCATTAAATTATGTAAAGAATTTACATAGTAATAATATGTTTCCAATCGAAGCAATGCGAAGACTGCTTATTATCACATTTCTTTTCTTTCGTCACTTATGTCGACAATGTCGACATACAGCATTTCCATGTTCAATGATCCATTCCGATTCCTGCAAAAACAATGTAATAATGATACGGTATACATGATTAAACATCGCTATGCAAACAGATTTGCATAGTTTCCTGTAATTTTTTGTGTGTTCTTACGGATCTTATGGATTTTCGAATGACTTTTCGTCATCCATCCGTACGAGCAATTTATTTTTTTTTTAAAGCATAGTTTATTCAATCTCCATAAAACAGTATCAATAATCATAACTGCGAAGTAGATGTCTTGCTCAATGATAAATAAGAAAGTTAAATTTGTTTATATGTATATTGTAACATTTATTCTAATTTAATATAATTACTAAAATATAAAATTTTAGAGAAAAAAAGAGAGAGAGAAAGCGTTCATTTATTTAGAGTTTGGGATAATATCTCCTCAGGCGTATCGGAAGTACATCAGAAATATAGCAACAATAATATAAGAAAATTACATTATAACAGAGTAACAATAATAAAAACAGAAGAAAAATTTACATTATAGCACAATAAGATAGAAAGAGAGAGAGAGAGAGAGAGAGAGAGAGAGAGAGAGAGAGAGAGGGAGAGAGGAGGAGAAAGAGAGAGAGAGAGGCTACGTTCAGCAGAAAAAACTAATCAGTTAGCGCTTAGTGATTCTTTAATGTGATTGGTTCTTGCATTTAGTTCTTATTTGCTGGATCTAAGTGAAGGAACGAATCATGTTAAAGAATCACTAAGCGCTAACTGATTAGTTTTCTCTGCTGAATGCAGCCAATTACATGGGTATAATTGAAAGCAAACGATAAGAAATAGAGATAAATTTAAAAAATTATAATGAAATCCATTTTCTAACAATAGTATTATGATTGACATTATTTAATTGATGTTATATTTTAATTATAAAAAATTCATCATGTATTTTTGTATAATTATCAAACAATCTTAAATAAGTACAAAAATATTTTAAGATCAATAACCAACTTTTGAAGAAATGAATGTTGTTTTTACCGTTCTTTTCTGAAATTATTCCATACAGCAAACCATGAACTCGCAAAGCAATCATGCGAGGCGATACAAAGAGAAAATCGACATTCTATACTTGGTCTAGATTGAAAAAAGGTATAGAAAGGAACATAGAATTAAGTTTTTTTGACTTTCCTTTTTCTGAGACTTTTCAGTCTGCTCTCCTTCATTGTCCGATTCTTAACAGTTCTTGAGTGAATTCTTATTGCACGATCTTTCGGAAGAAAGAAAACTTTTATAGTGCCGGCGTAACGCAAGCAGTTACATACAATAAAAACTTAAAATTTTTTTTCACTATTTCTCATAAATAATATCTAACGAACAATATTAGTGATCAATGTGATCCTTTTATGTTATGTGTAATAAAACTTACTTTTCTTATACAAATTCATTCGTTCGGGATCTAAATATAATAAAAAGAGAGAGGGAGAGAGAGAGAGAGAGAGAGAGAGAGAGAATGAGAAAGACGACTTATAAAAATTAATTTACAGAAATATTAAATATTAAAACTTATTAATTAATATTAATTAATAAATTTTAATATTTCATATTTTAAATAATGTTATTAAATAATTATTATTAATTAATATTAATATTAAATATTAAATTAATATTAAAAAATTAACTTATATCAAGCTTTTATATTTTACAATAGCATACTTTTTAAAACATGTGTTTGATAAGATATTTACTTGCAGGTTCATATCTCAAAAAGACAGAGGTATCCTTTGAAATACGCATTAGGTATCTTATTATTCAATCGTTTCAATTTAATCGTTAGTTAATCGCTAAATTTCACTAATGTTTGCGAGGGTAAAGGAAAGATTATCGAAGGTAATTGATAGAATAAAATTGCGCAACCTGCGAATAATTGGTTTGCATGTTGCAACGAAGTGACGGAATCTTGCGAGTTATTATTCGAGCCTCATGACGACCGATCTTTTAATTGTTTGTAAGTATTATATTAATTTTTCCACAAGATTCAACTCTAAATTATTCGCGATAACGAGCGGATCGACCGTTTATTTATATCGACCAATAATTTACTTAATTGAACAAACGCGGAATATTTACTAGGTGTACGTACAAATAAGTTTCCGGGTTTCACACATGGATGGCGCCAACGACACATGTAGTCGACATACATGTCTGAAGTTGTTTATTTTTTGTAATTGCGACATCTAACGACAATAATCAATCATAATATTTCCAGTTTCGCGACGAAAAAAAATTTTTATGCAACAGTGAAAATGTCAGGTTTTGTGCCAAAAAAACAGCATTCGCGGGAAGTCTTGCTTTTCTGCTTTCACTTGGGCAAAAATGCAGCTGAAGCACGTCGTTTGCTTGAGGAGGCTTACGGCGAACATGCACCATCGAAAACAACCTGTGAAGATTGGTTTAAACGCTTTAGAAGTGGCGATTTCGACACTGCGGACAAAAAGCGCTCCGGAAGACCGAAAACAATCGAGGACGCCGATCTGCAAGCGTTGTTGGATGAAGATGACACGCAAACTCAAAAACAACTTGCAGAGGTGTTAAACACGTCTCAACAAAGCATTTCCATACATTTACGGCCAGAATGGAACACAAGACATGAGCGAGTGATTTTGCAGCAGGACAATGCACCGTGCCATCGCACTTCCATCGTCAAGGACACCATCAAAACGCTGAAATGGGATCTGTTACCACACCCGCCGTATTCACCAGATCTGGCGCCTTCTGATTACCACTTGTTCCGGTCGATGGCGCATGACTTGGCTGGACTACACTTGGCCAGTTTCGAAGAAGTGCGAAATTGGATAGATGAATGGTTTCGGACCAAAAACGAGTCGTTCTATCGTCGCGGTATTCATGCATTGCAAGAGAGATGGCGAAAATGTATAGCTAGCGAGGGACGATACTTTGAATAAGCCGCTTTTTGTTTTTTCTTGAAATTTTGCATTTTTCATTGATCAAAAAAACCCGGAAACTTATTTGTACACCTAGTATATTATAAAAAAAGCAAATGATAATTGGTCAATTCCTCGACGCAAGAAGATCACATTCCGATAAAAAATAAAAATATTATTACCATCAAACGAGACCAGTCTTTAATTTTTTATTACTAATCGGTACCTCAATGTCTGCCTCAACAAGCCTTAACGAGTCTTAATTTTAGGCCCGATTGCAACCAACGCGCAACGTTACTTTAATTTTAAATGAGACTCTCTGTTGACTTTAAAGAAAGAAAGAGAGATCTTTAAGCTTCGCTTAAAGTCAAAGTAATGTTGGTGTAATCGGGCTTTAATGAGATATGATTTATCGGCGCAGCAGAAGCGAAAAGTGTTTCACGAAAATGGAACGATCTCGAGTAAAAACAATAAAGCAGGGTATTTATTACATTGAGATAAGAAAATTGCAAGCCTAACACTTTCCGTAGTTGATTGAGATACATCTTATGCATTCTTTTTCTTCATTATCTCACAATTGTATACTTTACGGTACTGAGAAAAGTCGTAACGAGTATTCCTCAGAATTATGTACTTTTATTTAAATAATATAGAGGAAAGAAAGAATACTAAATGTAAATTATAATCTATGACTACAGTAGCTATATATTTTGTTTACGGACGATAATGTACGACGTGTCGAAACGTGATATTCGACACCGACACGTGTTGTGGCAAAAATAATGCAACAACGAATTCGATCAAGGAAAGTTTTAATGAGAGCTAGGGAAATTTTTTCCGAGAAGAAAGCACGTATTGACACATAATGACGTCAAATTGTTAGATCTCTCTTTTGAATAAGGTTTTCCAGCTCTTTTCCAGCTTCGTTACTGCAAATCGATGCAGATTTTTTAATGTAATGAATGGGCAATGCAAAATTTCAACGAAAATAGTGAACGTAGCATTCAGTTGCAAATGACTATTTTCGTCTAGCAATTTGAATCTGTGACTAAGGACGACTTATCTTTAAGAAAAAATGAGGAAAGGCGATCAAGTAAACTGCAAAATTAAACGACTATTAGGTATGAAATGACTATTAAGCTAAAAAGAATGTCGACTTTTCCTCTTCGGCTTTCGCGTGCTATAAATCGTGCTAACGTAATTTATAGACGTACGTCAAGAGCGTCTTTTTTTCGTCGATTCTTGAAATGTCTTAAAATTCCCGCGACGTAAACTATGAAATGAACAAGCGCGGACGTCGCATCGTAACGTAATATTTTGTGCGAAATACATTACATTTATCGGAATAACGTTTTTTTTTTCATTTCCTCCTTATTTTTTATCAAAATAGTTTCAAGGTTAAAGTACATAACGACAGTTATAATTTAAATTATCGTGTAGATAACTTTTTAAAGCGTTAATATTTACCTCATATTTCGACTAACTGTGAGAATTCGGGAAGAATTTTAATTTTTAAATTTTAATTTTAAACAAAATTTAAATAAATCGGATTAAATGTAAATTTAATTAAAATATACGCGCATTATTATTATTATTGTTATTGTTACTATTGTTGTTGTTGTTGTTATTATTATTAAGGAATTGTCGTAGACTGTTTCTAATAGACTTTTCTTTTAATTATCGTAATGGAACATCTTTTAATTTTCCATTTAGCTCGCATGATTAATCCGTTCACCTATGCTCGTTTATTTCCTGTATTTGCCTCTAAAGTCGGAGAGAAAGGCGCACCAGTGCAGAGGTGGGCACCGCTCGATACGTTGTCGGAGGGTGGCGTGGTCTGGGTGGCGCGGTTTTCCCCTGCACTCACGTACATGCACATACACACACACACAAAATACACACACACGTTCAAAATCGACGAAGTACGCGCGGAGCTACGGGTCGGAGTCGACGAAGAACGGCAGTCATTCAGAGCCCGACTAGCGCGTCGTGCACATTTCGCGCCTCCGTCTCCGAGCTCCCGCGTTCGCTGGTAAAAGGAGCAGCGCGCGAAGACGTGTATAACAATACAATATTCGTGACAGTGCGCGGGTTCGAGTTCGATCGAGGATCAGACAGAGAAAGAGAGAGGGGGAGAGAGAGAGAGAGAAAAGGAGCGGAACGACAGTGCCTGACATTCTGTTTCGGAAGTGAAATTCACGCCATGGCCGTCGTTTGAGGTCGATTCCTGAGTGCAAGACTAGTTTTCCCCCATTCTACCTCATTCTACCTTGACATCGGTGCCCGTCGACGATCCTGCGTCGAGGACCCGCGGCAAGGTTTAGGAAACAGGTGAGAGGGAAAGTGCGATGCGGCGTGGAGTGCGTTGCGCTTTTCTCCCGCGATATGTTGAATGAAAAGTCTCTCGAAATTTTTCGACAACGGTAGGAAATATCGGGCTGGGGGACGAGGTACACGACGTGGGCATGAAGATCCCCGTCGTCCCCAGCGGAATCGTGAAAATGCGGAGTGGTGGTGCTCACCCCCGGCGCGGCGGTCTCGCGTTCCGCGCAATATGGCCGCTCTCGAAAGACGCTTTGCATCCAGTGAGGGTGATTTAATTCAAACAGCGTGGGTGAAACTCGTCTGGTCACGCGGAGGAATCCTATGAGATTTCTTGTGGGTGTAGCAAAGCATGAACAATTTGTGCCGATACTTCGCGACTTTATTGTTAAATCGCTCATTGCGACCGCTTGCCAGTCTGTTCCGTTAAGTAGGAACGTCTTTTGTCGTGGACATTTATTTCAATTAAACTACTAATCCTGTAATCTTAAGTGATATTATTATACGAGAATTAATTTTGTAGATACCATTGTTCTCTGAAATCCTAAGAAAGCTGAAAGATATAAAAATTTTAGAAATATTATTTAAAAATTACCAAAATATGGTATATAAAAATGAAAACTTTTATTTTTAATTAAAAATTATTATTAAAATGGATTATCTTGCTAATGGAAATGTGATCTCAATTATTTTATTTAATATATATATAATAATGTAAAGAGCATCTCTAAGTTTATAGTGCGGGTGATATATTTTCAATCAAAGATATAGTTTAGAGAATGGTGAATAATTTTAAAAGACTTTTACAAACCCATGAGGCACGTGTTAAGTACGTAATATATGTTGACATCGATCGATCTTATAAATAGTGAACTTTGTAATAACAACACGCTGTAACTACATACATTAAATATTACAATGCTCCTTATGATTATATTACGATTACTTTTCCATTATACAATCTTAATTGTAAATATCCTCAAATTTATTAAATTTTTTTGGAAAAGGTGATAATCAAAGCTAATGGAAAATTTAAAAGATATTAAAATTGTTATAAAAATAAATATTATTTTTTAATGAAGTCATTTTTTAATTTATTTTTCATTACATATAGAATATTTACGTTAATTTGTGAGATGTTTATACTTATGGCTAAAAAGCTGTATTTCAATTATTTTAAATATCTTCCAATTTTAAATCAAGTTATTTTGATATTTCTAAATTAGTTATTCACTTATTAATTATTCAAAGAAAAAGTCACACGGTACCCACATGTTTCCAATGTAAATACTCTAAAGAAAGAAGACTTCTTTTTTTCCTTGGAAATCTCTTGTCGCATTAGATTCTTTGTTTACGATAATAAGGTTTTATTAAGAAATTTCTTGGATTTGTTAAGGTCAAAATCATTGGAGATTGTTTCTCTTATTTTCATTTTTGCACTGAAAATTCATTTTTATTAAAAATAAAAATAAGAGAAACAATCTCCAATGACCTTGATCTTGACAAATGTTATCCAAGACATGATCTTTAATAACATTCAAGAGGTTTTAGCCGTCGATTGGACACCTTGCGTAATGCTAGTGCTGGCGGTACTGTAACTTCAAGCCTTATAACTAAAAGTACTTTATGAAAAATAACTTTATTGTAATGTTTTGAAAAGCTCTTGACACACCAGCTATTAGATTCTGGAATAAAAAATAGAATATACCATTTACCACAAGATCAAATTGATAAGATCAGTAAATAGATCCTTTTGAATCCTACAATTTTTGTCTGAAACACTTTTCTGTAAAACTTATATTTTCCGAGATATTCAGGTATCCCGATCTTTTTAGGACCCTGTGCGCGCGTGCGCGCGCGTATGGTGTGTGCGTGTGTATATATATATATATATATATGTAACTATGATCATGGTTTTTCCGGCACTTCCAATGATCTGACAAAAACTATTTTGAATAAAAGTCAGTTTTCAATCGACTACAAATTGTAATATAAAAAAAATTTGCAAAATATTCTTTTTTAAGAAAAAAGTCAAGGTCACCCTAATTTTTTTAAATGGCACGATGTATTTTTTACTTATCGATTTGGCCGCGAGTCATTATTTTACAGTGAGTCATTATTTTAAGGGCGAAAACTGGGTTCGGAAAATCCGGTCGGCGACCCACGTGGCCTATTGATTTTCTCGCTGCCTGACACGCTCTCTCTCTCTCTCTCTCTCTCTCTCTCTCTCTCTACCCGTTGCCGCCGTTAGAAATTGACAGCCCTTTTGCCATTGTCATCGATTAACATCGCGCGGATATAAGCGCTCTCGAAAGGATACTTGAAGGTACTCGAGAAGAGTATTCGAGAGCATGCGAGAGTCGCGTACTCTTTACGCAATATGCAAGTCGGAAGTTCGTTGCGCGTATAATTTAGAGCTAATTATGAAATCACGCGAATCGGCGACTCGCTCACGCTTCGTACACGTAATTTTCTCGATGACAAACGCGACCTACGCTGTAATTCTGCTTGAAACAATCATGAAATCTTCATTGGACATCATCTAGAAACTTCTCTCTTTATACAGTTATGACATTCGCCAGCTTAGACACTTAAAGTCTGAAACATCATAAAAAAACGTTGAAAAAAGAGTTTACTAATAGCTACTATGTTTAATGAAGTAATGCTAGTTAACCCAGCACCAAACTTTTAAAAACGTTTATAGAACATTTTAAGAATGTACAAATATTCTTAATAGAACGTTCATATATAATATGTTCTATTAATGTCGTGTGGATCGTGTGCTATCTGGGAAATATTTGATTAATACAACTAAACATTTAGAGTTAGTATTACTTTATTAAATTTTTGATAGCTATAACCAAACTTTTTTTTCAGTGCAGGCAATAGAAACAGGGAATGACAGATTTATCAGAAACCGTATTTTTGTAACACGGTTTCTGATCGATAGGTAGAAATTTCTCATTCCCTGTTACTATTGCCTATGCTTTTTAACTATACAGTCGGTTACTAAAGGTTGCAACACTTTTTTTCGATGGGTTTCGGAATGCAGCTTGCTCACTGAGCGATTGGTTCTTATTCATGGATCCACAAATAAGAACCAATCGCTTGGTGAGTAGGCATTTCGAAGAAATGCATCCCGAATGCATAGAGATGCATTCCGAAATCCATAAAAAAAAAGTGTTGCAACCTTTTAGTAACTGACTATACATTAGGCTTAGCAGCTACGATTTATCGATTTATGTATGCCCTTTTCAATATAGATTAACTTTAATCTCGAATCAACTTACTCTTCATCTTTTTCTAAGAATTAGGAAAGAAATTGAACTGAGATTACATAATCTATATTGATAGAATGTAGTATTATAGATAAAAAGAATCAATATTTCTCTAAATATTAGACAAATATTGATACTTAATGTAATATCTCGCGATGAAATTAAGATGAAAAATGATAGAAATATAATTTTTGTGCGGCATACATATTGCATGATATTTATTAATATTTATTAATACCGAAATATCAAGAATCTTAATTTTAGAATGATTAAACCTATATTGGATTGACTCTACAGTTACGAATGCATAATATTACGCAATAGCATCAAATATTTTCCAGATAATTTCCCTTTTTACACCAAAAATATTTCAAAATGATTATAGTTTTTTTTATACAATATAGTTTTAAATTATACAATATAACGAAAATTATATTATATTATATTATATTAATTTTAACGAAAATTTCATGTACATAATAATAAAGCTTTTCTTTATTATTATGTACATACATGAAATTGCTTCTTAAAACAATTGTAATCATTTTAAAGTATTTTCATATTATCTCTAAAAACCTGTTATTATTCAAAGATATGTAAATGGAGTTTTTATACTGACAGCAATGTATATTAATGCTTTTTCGATGTAAGATTTATTTTGACAATTTTTAGTATAAAGAGAGAGATTATCTGGAGATTCTAAAAGCAAAGATTTACTCCGATTTAAACATTGTTTTATATTTCTACACAAATATTCATTATTCTTTTTTTTAATTTCAAAAATTTTTATTAACGTTCAATGTGTTCAGAGAATAAGATATTCTAAGAAATTATTGTATTTAATTCATGATGATAAATCTTACTTAAATGTTAAAATACTGAAATTATAACGATATTGGGCTATTTATAGAGCTGAGATGTAAATTAATGGGAAAAAAGGTAATTTATCATTTTCACATCGCAAAAGACATGTTATCATTCTTCAGGAAAAGTAATCGATGACACCGGTGTCTTTGTTTTTACCTCAGGTACGTTTAAGTACAGTTTGCCTCAGACTGACACGCGACAGTAAGTATATATAGCGGTAGGTTTAGGATCGATAAAAAACATGATGCAATATTCGGCCAAACTTTCATGGATACCATGGTTAGTCGCGGTCTTACTTAACACATTAAGTATTCAACCAAGATACTTTTATCTGTTAGACACTTCATAATGTTAAAATATTTAAAAAATATTTAAAAAAAATCTAATATAACAATATTTAAAAAAAATCTAATACTTGCAGATATAAAATTATAAAAAATGGAAAAACTGCAAATGACAAATTAATAGATATTCTAACATAAGTTAAAATAAAAGAATAAAAATATAAGAGAATACCTAACGATTGGAACATATGTAAACAAATATTTTCATTCGTTTTATAATTTTTTAATTTTATGAATATAATATTTTGTTAATATCTCTATTTAATAAATATTGTAAATCAAAAGTTAAAAAATTAAGAAAAAATAAGATACCTAAAAAATAAAATAGCGTGTGAAAATCCGTTAGATTGAAACTATAAGGTGAAACTATAGGGCGACCGTTTCGTGGAACATTGTCGGGATGTCTGATTCAAAGCGAATTCGTTGAGAACCGGTATCGGAGTAGGGACCCTAGATAATACCGGTGAGGCTTGAACAAATCAAAGCCTCTTCTTTCACGAACATATAATACATGTGTGCA